GGATAACACATTGCCGCAGTCGCAGTGGTCTGTACCAGGAAATTTCACTAAAGTGCCATCTACACCACCTGCTGGTTTTGGCTCCAATGCAACGGAGATACAGCTGACTAATTGTAGAACTGGCTTGACGAATTGTGACGGTTCAGAATGGTCGTCTGCTTTTGGTGAAACCGCTCACTTTCCTCTTCCAGGCTCACTCGATTTTCAAACTTCACCATTTAGGAAAGATTCATTCTTTCCAGAGATCACTCTGCTGGCAAACGAAACTATGAGTCCTCTAATAAATCTACCTAGTCTTTGCCGACTTACAGCAAGCCAACCTTTAGAGTCACGATTTCAGGTATTCTGCTCGCCTTATTGCAAATTTTCTATCTTGATTTATTTTTATAGGTATGAAGACCAAGATGGTTTGTCCTTTTGTTTCGTCGTTGGTTCGACCTCGTTTTCTCACTTATTTATTCGCATTTATTTATTTTACTACTTTATTGAATACTTTCGGTTGCCATTTTATCGAATTTGAATTTGATTTGATTGTCTGTATAATCATTATTTTATTATTCATTTATCCCTAAGTTAATCCATTAATTTTGAACCAAAGGTTCACATTATTCCATTTACTTAACATGTCTATTTTTCTTTGATCATCTCATCCTTTGTTCTATGGCCACAAATGTTGGTATTCAGAGATTTGAAATTTATTTAATTTTCGTTTGAAGTAGGCTTTGAGTGTCCTAAAAATTTTATTTTTTACGTTTACCAAAATTAATACTTCACTCTAATAAAATGGAAAAGCACTTTTCATATCAGATTTATTTCGGCATATTTACCTATGAAAGGTTATTTATTGTTTGCAAATTTTCTCTTTTTTCCAGGTCACCTTGACTCCTTCCAGCCATTGGAGTGAGTTGGATCTCGTCCGTGAGCTGGCACAGTCGCATTCTGCGAATAAGATGCCTGGCTCTAGTGGCAATGGCCATTGTTTGTTTCAGCCATTGGCTAGTGGCTTCGACGTTAAATCCAAACTATCTGACTCAATCCAGGCGCCGCGGCGCAAGCTAGGAATCTTTTCCCACAAGCCTATCCCTTTTTATTCCTTTTCGTTACCCACCTGGGGGTCCGTCTCGTCTGAAGCTGAGGTGGCGGCGGCCGGAACACCGTCAGATCAGCATTCTCAAATACTAATGGTCAACTCATCTCAACCAATTTTTCATCCGGCTTCCAATTCCAACACCTCTGCACCTGTATGCATATCTTCCACTAGTACCAATGTTAGTGCTATTCCTAAAGCGATGATGACTGCGAGTAATAAGCCTGTTGTCAGCAATAGATCAACTGGAACCTCAGAAAATGAAATTGTTCATTTATTAGCTCGCCTGGTCACTTGTCATCGTACGCCCAGAAATTTCATAAATTCCAATTGTTGTGGAACCCAGCGCTCCAGATGTCCTGATTCTAAGGTTCCTTCTGGGTTAAACTGTTCTGGTGGTTTTCGGACCAATTCAAGCCAACCTTCAAGCCGTTTTGAGACTGATAAGGAACCAACAGATGAGGAAGACGTCGACGGGGAAGATCAAGGTGATGACGAGGTTGATGAGGCTCATCCGGATGTTTGCCTTATTTGCGCTGAGTCAGCTGCCCTTTTGGCTCTGACTGGTGGCCCTTCAGCTCGGGCATGGAAATCCTCATACGCACTCCAGCCCAGTGAAGGAGAGCGACAGCCTTTCCGCACTGTTCCTGATGCCAATAGCAGAACTGGCTATTCGGTTGGCCTTGCCAACGATGCAAAGAGCAATTTTTTTCCGAGAGCAATAGAGAATAGCTCAACTGTGGGACTGAGAGGTAGCTCAGCCAATAACTCAGAACTTTTGATGGAGATCACTCTACCTCGAGTCTTTGCGGTTTCTTCGTTTGACTTGCACATTTGTCTTGCTGAAGGTATACAGGTGAGTATAAGTTACTTTTTTACGGTTATTACACCATATAATTTAATTCTGCCTCTATGAAAGACCATTTATAATAATCATCTTCCACTCTAGCCTTCGCAGCTGCAACCGATCTTCATCTATTTACTTCGTCAGAATGTCTGTCATTTCGGTATAAAGCCAGGTAAGTATCTTCTTTCTATCTATAAATACTTAAAAAGCCTATGCATCCATTATTCGCATTCGCTTGGAGAGCCCTTTACTCTTTGCCTGTTAAAATTAGTTTATTCATGATCACCACGAAACTTTCTCTCACGAGCTCACAATAACCTATTGCATATAAGCCTTAACACTCCTTTTAACAATGAGTTGTTTTAAGTGCTATTTTACTTGACTCTTATTTTGAATTTGTCTTAAGATTAAGCTTTAAATTATTCTTCATGATGTTCAATTCTTTATATCCTTTTAAAACAAAGAATTAACCCTTAAGATATGAATAAAAACGGGTTTCCAAAATTCCTTAGTGATATAGTGTGACATGACTCTATTTCGAGTGAAAAGTTGGTTGAAAGGAATTCGTGATCTGGTCTCGCCGGAAACCGAAGGATAATTGCCGCATAGGGAAGTCCTCGGTTCACTGTCCTGCGACCCCGATGAAACTGTACTAAACTTTCGTCTGTACTATGACAGACACCATCATAACAGGAATTCATACTTTACCAAATGGAGCAAAAATATGCTAAACCAAGAGAAAAGGTGGCCAGCTGCAACCCTAGTCGTTTTTTATATACCTCGCGATATAAATGAGGATTTTCATGATTTGGTTGGCTACTTCAACCTTATTCTACATGCTTGCAAATGAGTGAAGTTACTTCAAGAACCGGAAGTGCGTTCGATGGCAGCTGATTCCCCACACAAATAAACTAGTATACGATCCTCTAATGTCGAATCATGTTTGGGCTTGAGCTATTGTCTATTGCATGCATGTAATATTTATATCCTGATAAGTGTGATAGTCCTAGCTAGATTCGAGGCTAATCCAGCCTCCTTTCCTTCCTCAGTGGCTCTTCCTGCACTCCCTCTTCTTAGGCATACTTAACAACCAGAAATAGTTCCTACTCAGTCTTCTACACTCATTCCTTTGATTCAGGACGTTGGCTATTTGGTTAAATTCTATAGTATTCCTTATCCTACGCTTTTATGTTAAGTCCCCTTAACCCGCAAAACGTTTCGTTTTGAATCGGTCTATTGAATATCCTGTATTAGCTACGTGTTTAGCGAGCTTAAATTTTTGGCCCTATAGACCTCTACAAGAGGTTTTGTGTTCGCATGGTCTCTTCTGGATTGGTCAGCAGGTCTCCCTCATATAGACGTTACCACTTAAGCGCAAAACTTTGTAGCAGCCTGATCTATAAAGGTTTGAAAATTCTCTAAATGAACGAACTACTGAAGAAAGTGTTGATTTCTCTTTGTTTTTTATGTTCGCCTTCCTCTTTAGATCACCCAACTTTTCCGCAAGCTGAAAGTAATGCATGATCAGGAAACGATTAGAATGGCCCAATTGTCTATCCCGCCCTAGATAGCAATCTTCCTTCATCTTGTTGTACTTGTCAACTAATCATGAAGGGTAATTGTTTTGAAATAGTATATGCCTTAATCTACCGATCTCGTGGTTCCTGTGGCTTACGTCTGCTAGAAGCAGGTTCCTTATTATGAAGGATTTCATAATTCCTATTTGTACTTTATATTTATGGTTGGAGAAGATATTAATAAGGAGATCCACGTGTGTGGACTTTATATACACGTTTCTATCTAACTTATTACCTTCGTTGATCGCTAATACCTCGAGAAGAGGCATTTTATCTTCATTTTATCACTTCATGGTAAATGTAGTATTGATATCTATTCTATTTATTATATGCATAGAAAAGCTTGGTCTTAAGGAATCTCTTGTTTCATAATTGTTGAGCTTATTTCCATTTAGAGTGCAAGTGTTTGGTGAAGAGATTCTAAGGGCGATTCCATTAGAAGACGAAGGCGGATTCCTATTGAACAGCTGTCGATTGGCCTTACTGGAACATTCAAGTTGACGCTGTTTCCGAGGTAATCTCCTTTTTCCTGACTCGTTAGCTTAAAGTTGGTTGTAAGAATGATACCTTGCTCTGAGGGTGTTCGTCATATGACGGACGAAAGCTTTGCACGTTTTCACTGGAATCAAAGAAGATTAGCTTGAAAACAGCGTCAACATGAATGCTCCCGTAAAGCCAATCAACAGCTGTTCAAGAGGAATCCGCCGTCGCCTTCTGGTAGAATCGACCTTCGAATATCTTCACCAAGCACTTTTACTCGAAATGAAACTAAGATCAACTATTCCATATATTAGCTTAATGAATTCATCCAAACTAAGTTTGCGGTGTTGCCAAACACCAAGTAATCGTCCATATAACGGGCTAGTAATTTGGGAACTATGATGTATTAGCAAGCAAAAAGGTAATAATCTACATTAGGACGTGTATAGAAAGCTGACACAACTTTTTATCTTGGTTTAGTATAGAAGCGGGTTGACCTCGTTTTCGCAACTTGGTCTTGTTGTCATGGCTACTTAGGAGAACGCACCTAGTCCGAAGTCCTCTGCCATAGTAGTTATCATAATTCTTAGCTTCAGACCATGGACTTTGTAGACTCTCAGACGTTTAACCGGCATCGTAATCGGCTTTATCATTGTCTTGCCATTCTTCACACCAAGCTACTAAATCGTCAAAGAGATAAATGAAGTCAATCCCTCGACCAGCTTTTTGCCGAAAACAGTTACATTATCACTTCTTTCTGCACTGACCCATTTATCTACTCTTTACCCTCTTATCCAATTCTCTTTCTATCACAACTTCTGACTTTTTTACATTCCACAAGTTAGAATGTGTGCCGTTTTGTGGCAAACCTAGTGTGGCCTCATCACATCTGCTATTTACCCTGGCTCCTTTCTTTCGATTGGCTAATCCGAATCGGGCCTCCCATCCGTATCTCTCTCATGATCCCGTAGATCCGTTTCTTATCTTTCTATTTAATCGACTTCACTAATTTCCAGTCCCAATGCGTGTTTTACTCCAGGCGCTAGTTCTCAAGGCCTTTGAAGCACGCACACTGCCGCCTCATCGAGTAGAGCGTCTAGTTTCTGATTAACATGCTTGCAGATATTAGGTGTTGTCTTCACGGGTCGTTTCCTTGATTAAACCCGTGTAACCTGAGTAAACTGTGGAGACCTATCTCTAATCCTAGTCGCATGCGGCATCTGGAGTTGATTTCTAACACATTTGGGCCATCATGCCGAATTTCGGTGACGGTTGTGTTAGGACGGAAGTTGGATAAGCTGGTAATGAGTAGATACATGGATTAGTACAGAAAGAAGAGTGATAGTTTAACCGTTTTCGGCAGAATGTTGGTACACTGATTGGCTTAATTTGTCTCTTTGTCGTGTTGGTAGCTTAGTGCGAAGAATGGCAAGACTCACTGTTGATGCCGGCGAAGCGTCTGAATGTGTTCCAAGTCCATGTTCTTATGCTGGAAATTATGATAGCTACTATGGCAGAGAACTTCGAACAAGGTGCGTTCTACTAAGTCGCCTTGACAACAAGACCAAGTTGCGAAAATGAGTTAAAACTACTTTTATAAATCAAAAGGAGTCTGCGACCGTACCGGGGGCCACACCATCTTGGTCTTCATTTCTTGGTTTAGTATATTTTTGCTCTATTTCTCAGTCTGGATTCTTACTCTGATGATGTCTGTCACAGGACAGACGAAAGCTTAGCATAGGTTCATCGGGGTAGCAAAACGATGAGCCGAGGACTTCTTCGCACAATACAACAGTCCTTTATACTCGGCAATCCTCTTTCACTTTTTGATAAGACCATATTACGAATTCCTTCTAACGAACTTTTCCTTCGAAATGGAAAGTCATGTCACAATTAACTTATTTTAATTTTTCCGGCTTGATATTGAATTTATCACTTATTTCTAAGATGTATCCACCCTATTTCGTTTTAGGTGATGAAGGACTTTTAATTGAATTTTTCCACTAAGATATGGGTGAGACTTACCTTTCCTTTCATTTTCAAATAACCTTGTATTATATCATTACATTAAAATTCAATTACCAGTCCTTCATTACCTTAAACAAATTGGGTAAATACATCTCATATATATATACATATATATGATCTTCTAATAGTCTCGAAAAGCTACTTTTAAACGAAGGATCACATTTTTTCACACGTGTATTCTACTTGGGCTTCTTTGAGTCTCCTTTATTATGATTTATATTTTATAGATTTTTCCTAGTATTTTCTTGCTTCCATCATAACATTTTTGATTAACTATTACTATATAATTATTTCCTTTTAGTTCATAACTAATTTCCTCTGAATTATATCCTAATAATTTTTCACTAAAACTTTTGTGCGGAGCTGAGGAAGATTTATTCTTTAAAATATTGTGCCAATTAAATTTGCAGATGTTGATCTGGTTTATGCAAGATAAGTGAGTTTATGGACATCAGCATTCTTCATTATAGCGTTACTTGAGCCATTCTTGTATTTCCCATATTGAGCTGACTGTTTCTATTAGTTTGCTGGTGATGACTCTTGATGTAGGAAAAATGCCTATGCAGCCTTATTTTTTCTGCTCACTTCTCATAGAAAGCATTCTCGCTTTAAATGTTCGGGATCGAATATCATCTCTTCGCTGAAAGGAATAGTAAATCACCACTGTAGAATCTCTTTTTGTTATCTCATTATTTTTGGATTCCGATTTCTGGCTTACATTGCTGACGCGAAGAAGCTATTATTCCCTATTTCGTCTTGTCTCACTGCAGTATAACTGACTTGCCTCACTTTAATTCAAGAAATTTATTTGTATCCTGTGAAATTTCCTTAATTCATGCGGGCAAAAGCTGATTTACTAGGAATATCTTTTCTTATAATTGTTGTAATAACTTCTTGTTAAAGTGATAAAAAGATTTTAATTTTGGGTTTAGAAGACGACGACAAAGTTATCTTGTAGCTACTAACAGTGTCATAACGTATATACACAATACCGCTCGTAAATTAGAGTGAAAAAAAGCCTAATGTCAGGCACTGTCATTAATGCTTAATAACCCAAGAAAAAACCCTGCCCGTGACTGCGTAAGTCTGTAAGTAACTCTCGTTGGGATAATGAGATATGAGCTTGTAAACGTGTAACCTAGGTTGTGAAGCTATCTGTCATAACCCCTCAATCTGGGTATAAAAAGGTTTATTACATGAGGAAAGGCATGACTAAATTGCGTAATCTCATAGGTATGGTTTTGCTTATGAGCTTAATCTACATGTTGGATGAGTGTGAATGAGGTTAGAATAACTATTGGGCTGATGGATTTAGTCGCCTTCTTTTGGATGGCGGCTCAGCATTCTTCAATATTTCAACTAAGCATAAATTGATCTTATGTATGAAGACCAAGATGGTGTGGCCTTTTGTGTGGTCGCAGTCTCTTTTCGTTGTATAGTCTACAGTCACTTTTGTGTTTATCCACTATTTAATACATGGGGTTTCATGTAGTTTTAACATAAAAACGATTGCACAAAGTATTTTCTGACAAACAAATCTGGATAATCGGTCAACTTTCCCTTCACATGTGAGCATAATTGGAGAAAGTATTATAATTTCACTAAAACTGTCTATTCCTAACTTTCTTACCATTTCGTCGATATTTCTAGAATAAGAGTTTAGTCACTCTTGTTCGCTTAGGTTGAACTGATAGTTGTTTTTTTTCACAATGAAATAAGTAATCTTCATGATGCCATTGAATTTCACTTATCCTTAGAAGTGGGTTGACCTA